AAGGGGGCTTCTGGAGACTCTGAGGAGTGGGTTTATCTGAGTCTTGTGGGCTTTTTGTCTTAGAGCATAGGGTCTTTGCCAGAGTCTAGCATTAGCTATTCTGATACAAAGACAAAATGAAACAGTCCCCCTGCCCCAGGGAGCTGCCATTTTACTGGGGGGAGACAAGTTCTCTTATAAGTAAATCCAGAGTCATTTCAAGGGGCAGCAAGAGCCAGGGGATGAGGAGAAACCGAGCCTTGAAGGAAGCTGGCCATGTCCGTGGGCAGCTGTGAATGAGCTAAGAGATGGGGAGACAGTGAAGATTAGAGAGATGATTGTGAGGGCGCTTGGTGCTGTACAGAGCTAAGTTCCTCGTTATTGGAAGGGTTCCAGTAAAAACCAGAAGACCCCAGTTCAGATTCGGCCTCTAGAGTCTCCGTGGACCAGTTCACTTAACCTCCTGGAGCCTCAGTTCATCATCTGTAAAACGAGGGCGGCAGAGGTGGGTAGGATGGGCTAAGATGTTCTTTGAGGCCTCATCCCACCTCCAGATGTATGATCCTGTGATCTCAGGGGACAAATGAGAGGCATCTTGCCTTGGCCAAGAGAGGGGCCACCTAATCAGAGCTGGTGAGAATGGGGTTTTTAATGACTTTTCTTAATACGGTGTGAGGCTTGGTGAGGTGTGGGAGACTTGAGGAGACGGGATGGGTCTGGGGAGATGCCCGCTGGGACGTCCCAGACCGATGGCCGGGAGGAGGATGGAGGGAGGCTGTAGGGGGCGCTGTTTGAAAATCTGTGGAGGGAGAGTCTATTGTGGGAGCTGGGATGGGGGAGAGCGGGCACTCTTGAATCCCTGCCACCGAGTGCACGTGTCTGGGCCGATTCCCACGGCTGGCCACACGGGGGCAGTGGGGAGGCTGAGCCGCAGGCGCTTTGAACTTGGCCGCGGAGCGGCGGCCTGGGACGCGAAGCCCTCTCCCGAGGTGTCAGCTGCTCGCCCCGTCGCCCCAGGGAGAGGGGCGCCTTCACCTCCGCTTCTGCTCGTCCTGGGGGCGCTCGGAGATTCGGGCGGTGCCATTAGGAGGCGGTGTTGGTGTACGGGGTGCAAAGAACGTCGGCCTTGGAGTCAGAGGACCTGGATTCGAATCCTGCCCCTGCCTTTGACCAGCTGGACGACCACTTTGTCGGGCACCCTCCCTGTCTGTAGACCAAGGAGGATGCACTTAATGGCCCACCTCTAGTCCAACACACAAACACACAGACGCACGCACGCACGCTCTCGTTTCTCGTCCATCCCACAGCCCTGGGGGGCCGGGGCGTGGGAAGGGACTGGACAGCTCCAACCACGTGTTCTCCGGACCTCGGGTCACTTTCTCTTCCAACCCAGCGGCCCGGCTTTTGCATTTCCCCCACCCTCCCCGTGGGAGGGGGCGGGGTGCCCCGCTGCGGGCTGAGCCTCGCTGCAAGCCGGGGGGCCCCCCGAGCGGCTCGGCAGGGGCGGGGGAGGGGGGCGGCTGAGTCCCGGAGCTGGCGAGCAGGAAACACCTGGCGGGGCCGCGGATGCAGCCTACGCGTGCGGCCGGGCCGGCCTCCGCCCCCGGGGGGGGGAGGGAGATGGGGGTGGGGGGAGGAACGGAGGGAGGCGGTGCACAGCCCCGGCCCGAGCCCCCGGGACCGCACGGCCCCTGCTCTGGCCCTCAGTCTCCCCGTCTGTAGTGTGAGGACTTCTCCTGAGGTCCAGTCCTCAGTCCTCTGGCTCTGAGGTCTCTGTGACTCTCTACCCATTGTGGGACCTCTTGTGCCCAAGGGTGGGCGATAAGCCACCGCCTCCCATCTTTCTAAGGGAAGATTGTTTTGCAAAGTAAACGTTGTGCGGGCTTGGGCTCTTGTTTTACTTTCGGTAGTCAGTTAGACAAGTCAGGGTTCTGGCATCTCATCTATCTTTCTGGGCCTTAGTTTCACCATCTGTACAAGGAGGGGGCTGTGTAATACCTAAGATCTCCAGTGATTTCTTTGGCGCAGGGAACTCCTTAGTGAGGACACTCACCCTACCAGTACAGGTAGCCACCTGCCTGCCTTTGCAATTTATAGCCTCAAAAAGTGACTTGCTCAGGGTCACATAACTAAGATGTGACAGAAGCAAGATTTAAACCCATGTCTTCTTGGCTTCCAGGCCTGCTCTCTATCAACTAAACCACACCGCCTCTCAATTATCTATGTGTAGGTATATGTGTGTGGGATTTATCTCTCTCTTTTTTTTTTTTTTTTTTGGTCCAGACCTGTGATTTCATCTGCGTAGAGAACTCCCAATATAGAAATCATAGGGAGAGAGTTACCTGTGGGCACTGAAAAGTTTTGTACTCTAGTCATGGTCACATAACTGGGTCAAACACAGCACTTTTCCTGACTCCAAGACTGATCCTTGATTCACAATTTCAAGCTGCCTCTGAATTGTCTATAGGCATGTGCACACACTGCTCTGTATTTGTGTGTGTGTGTGTGTAAATGTATCTTCACATGTGACTGTGTTTGAGTAAGTTTGTATGTATATGTGGGTATCTGTGTCTGTATGTATAAATATTTGGGACACTGATCTATGCAAATAATAGTGTCAGTGACTGGGCATCATCACCTCTTCTCCCCTACACCCCAACAAGATTACAGCCCATTACCCCCATGATAATCTGTGCCAGGAAGTGGGGCCTGAAACTCAAAGAGTTTTCCCCAAATCACAAAGCAACTTGACAAAGAAACTTTCCCCAAGTAATCTGAGAAGAGGGAGTCAAAAATGGCATGTCTGTTCTGGGGAATGCCCAGTTCCAACTCCCCTACTTCCATCCTAGCCCTGGATCCTGCCTTCAATCCAAACAGAGAAAAGCACCTCCAGTCTATGTTGTCCAACATTTTCTCAAAGTGTATTTCTGAGGTTCCTTTTTCCTTAAGATGAGGTGAGGCTGAATTGGAGTTAACCTGGTTGTGTGGGAAAATCACTAAATTTGGAGTCTGAAGACCTGGGCTCAAATATCCTCATCTTGTGTGATCTTAGATAAGTCTTTTATACTTAGTTTCCCTAGCTAACAAATGAATTTTGGAATAGGACTCTAAGTTCCCTTCTAGCTCTTGAAGCTAGGCCTGGGGTGAGGGGAGGGGGGAATTGGAGGTCAGAAGTGGTAGACACCCTGGAAAAACTCCTCTCTGGGGCTCTTTCCCATCCACCCCAACTCTGTATGGGGGAAAGGAACCATTTATCCCATGCTGTCTCTATAAGCCTTCTCCAACTGTCTTTTATGTATCTGTTTGTCTGTCCACCTGTCTATCTAGGGATGTTTTCTGATCTATAGCCTATATCAGATTGCTTGCAGTCATGGGGAGGAGGAAGGGGAGGAAGAAAGGGAGAAAAAAAATTGGAACTCAAAATCTTATAAAAATGAATGTTGAAAACTATCTTTACATGTAACTGGAAAAAATAAAATACTATTAAGTGGATGTTTTCTAACTCTAAGCTGGGGGCGGGGGGCAGAATAGAGATGAGTTCCCATCCAAGTGTCCTTGTGGGGAGGGAGGGAAGTGGAAAGCTAGAAAAGACCTAGTTCCCAAATGGTGTAACCTCAGGGACCCCATGTAGTTTCTCCCCATTCTCCTGGGTGTGGGAGGGGGCAGTTGTTGAGGACTGTAATATTGCCAGAAAGCCCAGATCCCTGCCCCGAGGCTTCCAGAGTCTCCTAGTACAATTTCTGAGGTTGCTTTGGCCCCCTGTGGATCCCCCCCCACAATGTAGTCACAATAGACAGGGTGGAGGATGGGATTGGGCAGGGGGAGAGAAGAATAAAGCCCCAGGAGCCCCCTCCTACAGTGTTTAGGGCTCAAAGGCCTTAGGAACTTGGGACACTAGGGAGGAGAGATTTATTGGGGGAAAGGGAGGGTATTTAAAGAAAGAGGAACAGAAGCTTATGAAGAGGGCGTCTGAACATCCAGTCACAGGATCAGCAACTCAGTGAGGAGTGTGCCCTTCCTTAACCATCTGGATCCACAGCCTTGAAATCCAAGTCACTCCATAGTAGGGGGGAGGAGTGTTGAGGGGGATTTGAACGGGGTTAGGGAACAAGCTAGACTAACAACTAGATATCCCAGAAACCCCTCTCCTCCCAGCCCTAAAGGGCTCAAGTTGAGAGTAGGAGCTATTGGGGGAGGGGAAGTAGAGAACGGGGAGTGGTAAAGGTCCTTTAGACACTTCCCCAAACTGGAAGGGCCTCATGGTGCCTCAGCTCAATATTTTATACCACCCCCACTACCTCCTCCCCAAAAGGGAGCCTGGTGTGGTGGAAAGAACAGTGGATTCAGGGCCAGATGACCTTGATCTAATTCCTGGATCTACCAATTACTTGGTGACCTTGGACAAGATCTCTGGCACTCAGTTTCTCCATCTGTAAAATGAGGAGAGAAGTTTTGTCTGTCTTTAAGGTTTCTTCCAGCTCTCAAATCTGTAATCCTTCTCCTTTCCCCCACTTTAATTAGGAGGGAAAGAGTCAGAGAGAAACTCCACAGAAGAGCAGAAGGACTCATTTAGGGGAAAGAATTCCAGAGAAGAAAATTACTTGGCCACAGTCATACACCCTGTACAGTTATTGGCCCAGCTGCTGCTCGAACCCAGTTCTTCTGACCTCCAAATGGAAGTATTCCACAGTGCACATGTTTCACAGACAGGCAATGTGCCTCCATTAATCAGAAGTCATGAGGAACTCTGACATCTTCTGGGGGGCTAAGGAGATGGGAAATAATGATGGTTGTTCTTTAGCTCCCACCTGAGGTCTAGGCAGCAGTCAAATGGGCAGGGTCTTGACGACCTGGTGCTTGAAGATCCCTGCCCATTTCCTCCAGGGTCGGCACCAGCCCAGAATCCTTATCAGCCCTGGCCAGGCAGTCCCCAGGCCTTATCTGCCCCTCCAGAGCATCCTCCGCCTCCGGGGAGGAAACCCGCCAGAGGAGGGGGTGGTGAAGAGGGCGGGCTGGGAGGGATGGGGGCGGGGGCCACGGCAGGCAGCGTTTCCTCTGAGCAGCACACTGAGTCAGGGTGGAGGGAGCCTGGCTGGACCCAGCGGCTGGAGGGGGCAGCCCTGGAGGATCCTGGAGGCAGTGGGGCTTGAGGGTAAGAGTGGGAAGGGATTGGGGGGGGGTGGCACACAGTGGGTGGCAGATGATTCTGGGATCTTAGACCCTGACCTACAGGGCCTAGAGCCCTCAGACCTTGGCACACATGTGCCAAGGGACTCTCATGCCCTGGCACTTAATACCCTAGGCCTCTTAGACCCTGATACACATGTCCTGGGGCCCTCAGACCCTGGTTCAAATATCCTAGGCCTCAAATGCTGGCACACACACCCCCGGGCAAAGAAAATTCCAACCCAACCTTCTTTGGATTCTAACCTAACCTTCCCCCCTGGGCTTTTGATTCTTCCTCTAGGACTAGGGCTTGAGACTCATGTTCCCTGCCCCCAGGGAAGGCCCCTTTCCCCACCCAAAGAAGAGTCTGATCAGGTGAAACCCAGCTGAAGGAAACTGCTAAATCCAATTATCAACCCCCAAAATCTCAGAATCAACCCCCAAGATCAAAAGCTGGAAACCACAGGCCAGACAGATTTGCCTGAGAGGGTTTCTTGCTGGGGTTCAGGTGTGCTATTCTGAGTCCCTGGTTGTGGAGCAGGGAACCAGGGGAGCCCCAGTACTCAATGAATACATTGCTAGTGGCTGGAAATTTTTGGTTGATGGGAAAACTGATGTGCATAGGGGTTTGTGGAACAGGCCTGCCTGAGATCACATTGGAAGGATGAAACTCAGGGACAAACCCCCAACTTCCTGTGACCCCCTGATCTCTCCATTCCTCCCACATTTACTTCTGGGGCCTAGTATCCCTTAGAGGCAGTGTGGTGTAATAGAAAGAACCCTAGTTGATCCTGAGGATTCCTTCCTTCTTACTTCCCCAGGAGGGAGGCTGTGCCTGGTTTCTAGTCTGAGTCCCTGGGGTTAGCCTTCTGAGAATAGGACCATGCCCTTCCCAGATCCCACACTCAGTGAAAAGAGCCCTCTTTTGTTCAGTCAGGAGATACTAACTCCATTGTCTGAATCTTGCTTCAGACCCAAGTCTGAACTAAGCCTCTTTGAACCTCAGTTTCCTCATCTGTAGAGTGGAGATAATATTTCTAAGACCAACTTCACAGGCTCCTTTTAAGGCTCCAATAAGATCATGTGTGTCAAGGTTTGAAGTCTATCTAAATATTATTATTATAATCCTTTCCTTCAGGCTACTCAGCCCAAGGTACCCCCTTCCACCTTTCACTCACTCACCTGACAGTGGTGGCTTCCCAGTTTCTCCTCAGCTACAAGTTTATTAGACCATAACTAGGATCAGAAGAATTTGATGTGGAAGAGCCTGAGAGAAGATCTAGTGCAAACGCCCTCCTCGTTTTATAGATGAGGAGATTAAGGTGAAGGAAATGCAAGTGACTCACCAAGGTTGCCCTAGCAGTAAATGGCAGAGCAGGATTAGAATCCAAGTCCTCTGACTCTAGACCAATGGCCCCCCAATATAAGCAGTGTAAAGGATCTCGGACTGGAGCGGAATGTAAAAATCATCTGGTCTAACTCACTTTGCAGTTGGAGAAACTGAGGCCCAGAGAGAAGGGACTTACCCAAGTAGCCCAACTAGTAAGTAGCCCAGCTGGCATTCAAATACCAGTCCTTTGGCTTAGAATCTAGTGCCTTTTCCACTTTCCCTTTTCTGGAGGTCCCCAACTCGGGAATTGGCTTGGGATCTGAGTATAGTGTCTCAGGGATTGGGAGGCAATGAAGATGGAAGTCATCAGACATCATTCCCTTCTTGACTGCTTCCCCCCTGCAGGTGAGCACCAGTCCCATTGAGGGGCCATCATCCTCTGGGTCCATGTGCCCTCCGGGGGACTCTGTGAAGCTGGGCCACACCATGATGGAGAAACTAGAGGCTGTGCCTACACTACCCTGCTCAGTCCCTTCCCCAGCAGCCAGCAGCAACTCCCCTGTGTCTGAGCCTGAGCCAGGCACCCCCCAGGATGGGGACAATAGCCACCCTGCCTCATCCCCAACACCCCCAAAGCTGCCTCCCCATGTGCCTGTCATCAGCCTGGGCCACAGCAAACCACCAGCCATGGCCACCACCGAACTAACCACACCTCCCCCACTGCCCTCACTAGTCCCACTTTCTGCCCTGACAGCTGGCCCACCCCCACTGGCCTTGGGTAGCCTGCTCCCGACACACTACCACCCACACCCCTTTCTAAGCAGGTCAGTCTTGGGCTGGCTCTATTTCCTCAGGGTTGTGGAAGGGGGCCCTAGTTCTAGGGGAAAAGGAACTGGGGGGAAGGGGACACATCTCACCTACCCTGAACCTGTTGCCCTGGTGTCCTGGGCCCCTAGGCCTGGGGAGGGGAGGGTAAGAGGGTCTGGGCACTCAGTGACCCCATGTCCCTCTCAGTGTCTACATCGGCACCACTGGCTCCTTCAGCATCTTCCCCAGCAGCCGACTAAAACGGCGGCCCAGTCACTGTGAACCTGACTTGAATGAAGGTAAGTGTGTGTATGTGTGTGTGTGTGTGTGTGTGTGTGTGTGTGTATGTATGTGTGTGTGTGCTCTCCAGCTCCTGAGCACAACCAAGCAGGCCACCATAGTGGTGTGCATGGCTCCCCCTTAAATGGAACCAGGAGGTCCCCAGCTCTCAGTCTCAGCACTGTCACCCAGAGGTACACAAAGAAATCTGCCCATATTGTCACATAGAAAGTCACACACAGCAGTGACAGTCATACACAAGGAATCACCCCAGATACAGGAATACATAGTAACAGTCACAGAGACAGTGACAATGACAGCCATAGCTTCACACAAAAAGAATCAAAGCCATATAGAGACAACCACACACTGTCACACATAAACAGTCAGACAGTGATAGCCATACACAGAGAATTCAACTTTTTTTAGGCAACTACTATATGCAAGACATGTATGCCAGGTCCCAGTAATACAAAGACAAAAAGAAAACAGTCCCTGTGCTCATAAAGTTTCTGTTCCACTGAGAGAATGCAACATGTATACAAATGAGTAGGTAAAAAAGGTGATTTGAAGGAAAATAACTTTGTAATGTAAATTTATATGAAATAAGTCTATAAAAAAGGCAGATCAGGGAATAGTAGTATATCTTAGAGGTAGTAAACATTTTGAGCAGGGATTGAATGACCTTTTGTTTCAGGAATTTTCATTTGGCTGCTGCTGAGGGATGGGTTAGAGATGGGGAGAGAAAGGTAACCAATATGGAGGCTATTGAAACAGTCCAGGCCTGAGAGTTGATATGGGCCTAAACTAAGTTAATAGTGATGAGGAGAGAGGACAGATAACAGGGATGTTGTGGAAACAATGGTGAATCTTACCTTGGCAATCGACTGGATAAGGATGTAGGTAGATGGACAGTCCTGGATAGGTGGCGGCTGCACGGGACAGCCATGCCCAGCCACAGTCATTCAGATACTGCACGGATGAACGGACTCACACACAGAATTAGTCATACAGTCACAGACACCTCATGTACAGACCAGTTACCCAAAACACTGCTGAGAGATACAAGAATCTGTACCAGAGAGCCAATAATTACAGAGCTTGACCACCACACTAAGAACACCCCTGTACAGGTGAATACCTCTCCTTTCCAGTCCCTATATGCTGTGATCCTATGACCTGAAAGGATTGTCTACATCAGGGATCCTTAAGCTGGGGGTAGATTTTAAGAGGGACATGAACTTGGATAGAGGAGGGGGAGTACACCTTTATTTCACTAATCTCTAACTGAAATTCAATTATTCAAATACCTCCTGAGAAGGGATCCCTAGCCTTCAGAAGACTGCACAAAGGGTCCATGACACAAAGGTTAAGAACTTCTGAATTAGATGTGCCCCGGAACCCTGCCTGTGGGGGAGAGGAAGCCCTAACACATAATTCCAGGACACCAGGAAGGGTTGGCACATACCCTGCAAGGAAGAACAACATGGGTGGGTTGGAAGTTGGGAATCAGGTATAACTGTGGCCCACCCCAGGACGAGAGGGAGCTGGAGGCCTGGATACACCTCCAGTCTAAACCTGGGGTTCAAGGAGGCTGGGCCTGGGCAGCCTGAGTCCTCAGCGGGATGCAGCCTGTAGGGGGTAAGACACTGGCCCCCCGACACACCTCTCTGGCCGTTTTCCTTCGCAGGTCACCAGCCCCTGAAGGTGGCTCGCCGCGTGTTCACCAACAGCCGGGAGCGCTGGCGGCAACAGAACGTGAACGGGGCCTTCGCAGAGCTGCGCAAACTGCTGCCCACGCACCCGCCCGACCGGAAGCTGAGCAAAAACGAGGTCCTTCGTCTCGCCCTCAAGTACATAGGCTTCTTGGGCCGTCTGCTGCGGGACCAGGCGGCCGCCCTGGCCCCGGCCCCGGCTCCGGCTCCGGTCCCAGCTGGGGTGGCTCCGCGTAAGCGGGAGCGCAGCGGTGCGGGCGTGAGCGTGGGCGAGAGCACACGCCGGGGGCTGGGGCGCAGGGCAGAGGCCGTGCGCTCCCCTCCAGCCCTCCAGCCCACGGCCGCTTCCCCCCACCCAGATGGAGCTGAACAACACATCAAGAGCGAGTGCTCTCTGCGGGACAGGACGGCCATGGGATGCGAGGCTCGGTGACCCCCGCGGGTAGAGATGGGAGGGATACTACAAGAGGCATCTGCGCGGACCCCAAGAAGGACACCGCCCCAGAAGAGAGAAGGGTCTTCCGGAGAGCAGACCCTTCACGGACTGCCCTGAATATTAGCAGCACTGCCCCCCTCCTCCAGGTCAATCCCCGAGATCAAATGAATCTACGTGGGAAGAGGGACGAGGAATATGCAGGGGTCGTCAATGGGGAGAAAGGGGTGTCCTGGCTCCTGGAGGGGCCGGGACACCGGTCGAGGTTGCCCTCCTCCCAGGCACACGGTCGGGGAAGATGGGCGAGAGGGCATCCAGTGTCTCCAGAGGTCGAGCTCTGACGCTACCTCTCGTCCCCTTGGCACTCTAAGCCCTCCCCACTACTGCCGGCTTTAATGCGTTTTGCAGTCGGCCCAGCCCAGGAGCCTAAATATCCTCCTGGGCGGGGGGGGGGGGGGGGGGGGCGGCACGTTTCTTTCGGGGTTGGGGTCCAACACGAAGAACAAAGCGGACATCGAAGAAGTGCTTCATTATTCCCGCCGGGCCGATGCCTTGTGGAAAGGGGGGGGGGACGGAGAAGGAATAAAAAAAAAATTTTTAAAGTGTTAAGAGCTGGAGAGGGATCTTAGACAACTAGCTGAACGTTCCTATTTTACAGACCAGCTAGGCAGCATAGTGGATAGAGGGCTGGCCCTGGAGCCAGAAGGACCTATGGTCTGCCTCAGGCATATACTAACCAGAGTGACCAAGTTACTTAACCTATCGGTTCTTTGGGCAACTCTCTAAGTCACAAAGAATGTGCCGATCTGCACTGAAGTTTCCACATCATGAAAGCTCAGGTCCAGAACCTATGCCATCCAACAAAGAGAATCCAATCACGGAGACTGTGGTCTATAGGGTGGGCGAGGTCGTAAGTGGCTTCTCTCTTGGTCTCCAAGTCGTGGTGGGGGAGGAACCTCAAACTAGCAGGGATATGACCCTCTCCATGCAGTTTCTTTCTCAGACCTGGGAGTTTCCCGACACAGCAGGCCTTTTCTGAGTTCCCCAATTCCCTTTCTCGGTTGTTTGTGAAATCACTTTAGAGCCTCAGACACTTCACCCCAGTAATTCTGGAGGAAATGGGCGTTATCTTCACCCTGAAATCGATTTTTGGAACTCTTTAAGTATGAAGTAGGGCTTTTTGCTCCCCTTGGACAGTGGGGTTGAAGTACCCAAGAGCCCGAAGAGTCCTAGAGTGAAGTGCCCAAAGGTCGCACAGGTAGTCAGTAGTGGAACCCAGATTTGGACGTAGAGCTCCAAACTCCAGTACTCAGGTCCAAAAAGCTCCAGGAGACCCCAGATTTCCCAAGGATTCAACCCACCCCGCCCTCACCGCCCCCACCCTGCGTCCGCTCTCGCGAGGGTTCAAGGTCTCTTCGTCTTTGTTTTTTCTTTATTTCTTTATTTCACATACACATTAGCCATTCAATGGAGAAGCTGGAGAGAGTCAGGCAAAGATGGTGTAACAGAAGCGCAGTGACAGGGGCCAGGGCGGGAGAAGGGGCAGGGGAGGGGATGGGGAACATACGGGCTGGCTGCCTACCTGCATTCCGCTAGGACACTGAAAACCCAGAAAACAAAACAGACAGTAAACTACCCTTGTTTCTTATGTATCTCAGTGCGGAGACGGGGAAGGGAAGGGAGGGGGACCAGGCTGAAGGAGGAGCAAAGGGACAGGGGGATGCTAAGGGGAAGCACACCAAATCCATTAGTACTATATAGAGATACTCATATATACTGCGTTTCTTAGCCTAAGAAGAAACTTGTTTGACGGGACGGGCGGCTTTGCTGTCCGCGATGCTGGTGCTGTCCGGGCGCATGGATCTCCGGGGAAGGGGGCGTGAAAGGAAAGGGGGGTAAAGGGCTATAGTGCGGCTGGCCCAGGCTGGCTTGGGGAGTGGTGTCCGGGGGAGCACCCCGGGGGTGGGGTGGGCTGGGGGCCCTTGGATTCTCCATTGGGAGGGGAGGGGGACAAAGTCCTCTTGACTTTATTGCTCCTTTTTTTGTGTGTAATTTTGTTCAGCGTAGTTCGGGTCGGGCGGAGGGTCTGGATTGGGAATGAGAATAAAGATTCATCCGATCATCTGGTCCACTCAGCCCCTTTGGGAGCCAGAGCTCGGCGATCGCTCCACCAGCACGGGGGAGGGGGGGGGGGGGGTGAGGAGAAGGCACTAGGTTGGCCGGCCAGCGCGGTGTGAGGGGGGTGTAAGGCAAGTCGATTGGGTTGTGTTGCGTGCGTGTTTGTGTGTGTGTGTGTGTGTGTGTGTGTTGTATGTATATGTGGGTGTGGTGGGGTTGGGCGGGGGGGGGTGGGAGGAGTGGGGGGGCCGGTGTTATTTGAGTTTGCAGGTTTGGTCCTTCCCTGAAGCGTCAAACCCTTTCCACAGCCTCCGGCGGGCGCTCTGTGCGGCCGGTCTGCCAGGGGTGCTGAGTGGGGCAGGGGTCAGAGGGGGGCGCCGGGGAAGGGAAGGGGAGAGGAAACTAACCAACTTGCAGAGCGCTCCCTGGACAATGCTGGTGTGGGGCAAGTTGGCGTCTGGCTCAAAGAAAGGCGCTCGAGGGGGTGGCGTCGGTGACTGGACACTGACCTGTGCAGGGGGCGGGGACGGGGGAGGGGCCTCTGTGTCCGGATAGGGGGAAGGGGGTGGCCCCTGGCCAGGGGCCCCCAGGAGATCCGCGCCAGCCCGGGGGCAGCCGCGCCCAGCCGCCGAGCGCAAACCGCTGTCCCGTGCGTTAACATAACAAAGGGCTATGCGTGGTTCCTAACGTGCGGTATGATACTTAACTGGTTCATAAACTGACGTATAATAGAGTTGGGTGGGTTTTTTTAATGTACTTTATAATGTACAAAGCACCAGGATTTTTTTTTATTTTTTTTATTTTTAACTTTTTTCTTTTTAAAAATTTTCCTCTCGTCCTTTTCCTCTCTGATTCTGTGATGTTTAAATGTGGTTTAAATGTGGAAATCCTTCCTTCAGCCCTCCCACCGACCCCGAGAACAGACGGCGACGCAGGGCAAGCCCCGGACCGGCCTCGTCCACGCAGGCAAACGGCTTCAAGAAAGAAAAAAAGAAACAACCGAAAACGAACGAACGAACGAAAAGAAAAAAAAGAAAAAAAAAAACAAACAAACGGAAAACCCACTTGGGCGTCGGTGCCCGCGCATGGCGGGCGGCCCGTTTCTTTAGTGTCCCCAGAGCCGCGAGGACATTGCAACAAAAATAGACTTTTTTCTTCTTCTTAACAATCTCTAACATACAAAGATAGGAAAACTCTCCAATGCATTGCACTTGGTTCAATGAAAAAAAAAAAGTTCATTCCCCCGTATATATATTTTTGTGTTTTTTTTAAAAAAGGTTTTTGTGTTTTTCTTTTTTTTTTTTCTAACAGTCCCCGCTTCCTGTCGCCACCGCCGCCTCCTGCCCTCAAACCGAAATGATGGTAATCAGGGAAACAAACGGATTCCATGCAAATCCCCACCCACCCCACCCACCCCCATTGCCGCGGCCCGCTTCTATCTTGCTCTACCATCCCCCCCTCCCCCGGCCCCCCTACCAAGACGACTCTAAGCCGAGACTGTCTTAATTTGGGGGTTCCCCGTACCCTCCCTTCACCTCAGACTGCCCCCCACCTAGGCTGGGCAAGGAGGTGAGGCACACGCAGCTGGCCTGCAGCTTTATACTTAGTGCGAGGAGGGAGCAGCTGAGGCTCCCCAAGATCCCAAGCCAGGGCCTGGCTCCGTGAGGTTAGGGACACATATAAGACCCAGGCACGGAGGTTTGTGCGTGGCAACGATTGTCTGGGGGGGAGTCCCCAGGAAAAGGGGTGGGTAGGAGTGGAGACAGGGAGGAGGCTGGACAGGCCAGCTTTTAGGCTCTTCCCTCTCCTCTCCTTGCTGCACGTCTGACCCTGTTTTGCCGACCGAACTGGAAAATCATTGCACTTTGACCAGGCATCACCCCTGGCCCCAGCCCGGCCCCAGCCACCCCAAGCCAGCTCCTAACACCACCCTGAGTTGGGAGAGGAGGCAGCATTTACAGGGAGGCCACAACCCCCAATTCCACCCCTCCTCTCTCCTCCCTCTCTTTCCTGGTCCTTTTCCAAGACTGCAGATAGGGACAGACATACACTTCACTTTAAAATTTAAAACCCTCTTGTGGCTGAGTTTAGGAGGTGAGGGCCACCCTCAGCTTTCCTTAAGGGTAGGTCTGAGGCTCCCAACTAGCTTTCCTTACCTCCTCCTCCTCCACTCCTTTTAGGGCTGTCCTAACCTCTCCTGATCATACCATCCACAGCCATTAACCAATGCAAAACCAACAACAATAGAGCTCATGGCTCCCCCCAACCCAGTGCATGTTGGACAGAGGCTCCCAACCTGTGCTTTGTGTTTCCATAGAATGTGTGAGAGAGACAAGAGAAGAGAAGAGGAAGAGAAGAGAGGAGAGAAGAGAGGAGAAAGAGAGAGCTAGGAGGGAGTAAGGCACAGAGAGAGAAGTCACACAGAGTGAGAAGGGAGTCCTGGAAAACCTGACCTGGAGCCTGTCTACCTATGGATGTTGTGTGGGCTTTGAGTCCCCTGACCCCTGGCCCTCTGCCCTTGCCCAACCCAAGATCATGCCCAGTCAAGAAAGGAGAAAAATCAACTGGTTGGCTTTTGGGCCTCTCTCCTCAGTCTGAGCCCATCCCTGGGGAATGGGGGGCAAGGAGGGGCAGCTTTCTAGGACATGTTGATTTCTTTTTGTTCCCAATTTGATAACAATTTCCAAACTACAACAGGAAAAAAAATACAGCTAAAAACTGGCTAGAGGAAAGCAGGGAAGGAAAGAGGGGGTGGAAGAGAAAAAGTGGGGGAGAGAGAGTAAGCTCTGGAATACTAAACAACGTACACCACCACCCAACCATTACCTCCAAAGGAACATAAATTGAGAGCAAGTCTGTGAGCACAAAGCCTACCTAGGGTAGATGTGACTTAGCATCCCAGCTGAAAGGCTCTCAAAAGGCAGACAGCCAGCTGTGCACCTGGGGGCTGGTGAGGCTGGCTCCTCCTCTCCTCCAATCCAGCTTCAGACTTCACCAATCCAGCTGATGCCCTTGATGTTAGGCCTCTTTGGCCAGCCCAGAAGAAGGCCACAGGCCAGGGCTATTAAGCCTCTCTGGTGATTTTTCCTGGGGGTTATTTTTGGTGGGAGAGGGTATGTGGAAGGACTGCTGGTGTCTAGGAAGAGCTGGGTTGGAGGAAAAGTTTAGAGGGTGAAAAGAGCAGGGGAGATACTTGTGGGGATGGGCTAGTTCTCCCTTTGCTCAGACACTTAGAAACCCTGTCTCCCCAGAGTCCAAGCTCTAGTCTTGGCCTCACTCCTTCCCATCTTTTTTGGGCCCTGTCTCCAGGGGGCTGAGGGAGGAGGCAGGCCAGTATAGAACAATGGAGCCTCCAAGGCAATGTGGGGGGGGGCCTTATGAGGGGGGACAGCTGGCTGGTTCTGTTGAGAGCATTTCAACTTGTTCCTATAGACTGTACATAATGATAAGATGACATGAAAGCTATCTTCAAGGCTGGTGTGGGGTAAAAGTGACTCTGGGGAAGAGGGTACAATATTGGGCTAGGTCTATTCCAGGGTCAGGCTCTGCCTCTCTTCAATGGGCTCCAGCTGACTGGCACCCCCCTCCAGGACAAGTTCATATCAAAACTTAGACCCCTTTACCCTGGTGCATTAGAATAAAAACATAGAACACCTTGGGTGGTTCCAGTAAGGCATCAAAGGCCTTACAGGATCCCTGGCAAGGCCTAGCTCTCTGGGGCTCTCCCTTCCCAGGCCTTCAGGTCCTGGGTGCTAGAACAATGGAAAGAAAGCACCCTTACACACATACCCCAACCAAGGTCAGATCAGGATCAACTGCCCATGCTGGAGGAATGGGACCAGGCTAAGGGGGGGGGAAGGGGCAAAAAGAGTTCAAGACCCTTGGAGATTTCTGTCAAAACACCTCACTGAAGCCAGTTCTTCCAGCCCCAAGGGAGCATTGGGACTGAGGTGTGCTGGGGAGGCGTGCTTTGTCATCTACCAAATAGACAACCTTAGGTAGGAAGGGCAGAACCTGGGACCCTCCTAGCCAGGTTGGTTATGCATTGGAAAACTTTTCAACTTTCACTCCACTCCCCTTGGCTTTTACCTGGGCTGTAGCCAGGAGGCCCCAATGGGGTGTGTGTGTGTGTGTGTGTGTGTGTGTGTGTGTGTGTGTGTGTGTG